CGCACATGAGCAAGGGAAGGGACAAAGGAGAAGCAGACTCCCCACTAAGCAGGGAGCACGATGTGGGGCTCCTTCCCAGGACCCTGATATCATGACCCAAGTAGAAGGTAGATGCTTAACTGACTGAGCCAGCCAGGCACCCCTGCTTCTTCTTTCCATCCTAGGTTCTATTTCCTCTCCTTGCAACCACCCGGCCCCTTATGTGTCCCATTGCCGTGTATGACCCGGACTTCACCTAACCCAGCCACGCAGGCAGAGCTCACCACTGCTTGCTCTACCTTCTTATTCCATGACAAATGGGTGAGGCCAAAAGGCAATCAAAGGCTTTGGAGAAGAAAGGGGGGTAATCAGGAGCTGACAAGTGCTGCCTGACCACAGGCTTGTTACATGACTACAGGGCCCTGACATTTGTTAGCTCGGGGTGAAGGGAGGGTTGCAGGACCGTGCACTGAATAGAAGATCTCCAAACACGTGGCAATGAATCTGGATCATTGTTTTGCCCCAAGTTAGAGATAAAAATGAACAGGAGGTATGCCTGGGGATTTGAGGTGCTTCTAATCCGCCCTCAAAGAAGCGTGTGCATTACCAAGTCTCTTCAGAGCTAGAGTTTCCAACTCTTTCCAAGCAGATGGTCACTTTCTCTTCTAGAAGAAGCCCCAGAAGGCCTGCAGGCTGCAGGGCCGCACACAGCATTGGCACCCAAGCACACCAGCAGGGGGCAGCCATCTTTCCCTGGGCATTTCGTGAGATGGGTGCTCCAGATCCCAGCTTGACGGGCTTAAGAGTATAGGGAACCCTACACCCAAAGTTTCCTTTGTCCCTTAAACAGCTATCATGTATGAATGTCTCCAGATTCTTCTCGAAACTTTTATCCTGAATCCGCATCACGGACTGAGGATAAATTTCTAGAACCACCCTCCCAGCTTCGTGAATATGTGCTGCCTCGAGTTACATTTAGCCATCCTTCTCAAGTTCCAGAGAGGGAGAAAAAACACGTTCAAAAGGTATCCTCTTACTCAAGTATTTCAAGATTTGGCTAATCTGGTGTTGTTCTAGCTCTTTCATTAAAACGTGTTCAGAGGCAGGGGCACCTGGGTGGCTCAGTGGGTTGAAGCCTCTGCCTTCGGCTCAGGTCATGATCTCAGGGTCCTGGGATCAAGCCCCGCATCGGGCTCTCTGCTCAGCGGGGAGCCTGCTTCCTCCTCTCTCTCTGCCTGCCTCTCTGCCTACCTGTGATCTCTGTCTGTCAAATAAATAAATAAAATCTTTAAAAACAACAACAACAACAACAACAACAACAAAAAACCAAAACGTGTTCAGAGGCAGAATTCCTTACAAGAGAAATAAAGTACATATCCAAATACAACCAGCCTCTTGGTAATAAAGACCACATCCTCTGCCCTCCTGGAACAGCCCCGGGCATCATGGTGGCCACGTGGGCAACCAGAACAAGCCTACTGAAGCATCTATTTTCATTTTTAGCTTGCACTGGCTCAGGAGAAAAGTCTCCATTGTGTAAAGATCTGTTACAACCCAGGCAACCCTTCCACCAGTGTTTGAGAACATTAGGATACTCTCATTTAACACCAGGCATTCGTGTTTTATCTTCTTTTAAAAAATAACCTTGCTTAAAAGAAATGTTTCCTTAAGGCGGAACTAGGTGATCTCTTGTTTAAAGAGCCTTCCAAGAGGTGCACGGAATACAAAACAGTGTAGAGGCCTGAAAGCACAGTCCCTGACTAGTCTTTCATGAGGCTGGGGGTTCAGGGAGGCAAGGGTTTGCAAAACTATTATGGTTGAGTCTCATTCCGAAAAGACGAGTCATAAAAAGACCTGATGATGTAGAATCAAAACATAAAGAGCTCCTCTCCACATTCAGACTCCCTGAAAGTTCACACGTTTTTGTAATGGTGTGGCGAGTTCACCGCTGAAAGGGGCTGGTTGCCAAGGCAGTGCTTCATTAAAGTTAAGTCCTAATCAAAATGCCAAATTTTCTCAGCGTGCCGCTGCTCTCTAAGGAGAACACACAACTGTGAGCTGACACAGATGGCAGCTCAAGTCGGCTTGAGAATCTTCCAGAAAGGAAAACACCTGCAAGCAAGCAGAGGTCTGCATAGAAGGTGCTGGAACACCTTCTGTAGTGTGTGTGTGTAGGTGTGTCCTCCTACAGACAGTCAGAAACAGGGAGCCAAGTGGGGCACGTGGCAGGATTACGTGGTCACACCCACCCACGCACGCATCCTGAGAATATAATTTCACCATGCACTTCTTCTTCTTTTTTTTTTTTTTTTTTTTTTTTTTTTTATCACCGTGCACTTCTTGAAAGCAGAATCTGCCATGCTGTTCCCACAATTATGCTCCACTGGGTACAGTGCTGGGCACTGCCAGGGAACAGAAGAGTCAGGCGTGTCGCAGTCCCACTGCAGGACGATACCAGAGAGGAAAGAACCACGGAGGATAGGCATTCTGGACGTTCACTCCAAAGTGATGCCCCAGAGTGAGATCGCCAGAATTAGGAAGTGTGTGAGATGCTCGGTGCGGGGAGAGGAATTCTCCCCTTCCCATCTCATCATTAGTGGCCGAAGGAAAAACTCGGAAGACTACTGGTAAGACAGAGACACGACACGGAGAGCATGGATCCCACCAGAAGCTGGGGCGGGATGAGGCAGAATCACACACAGCCTGGAAGCTAAGAGGGCACTCACCAAGGAGGCTGCCGTCAGGAAGGGCGGACTATGTGCTGGCTGGTGCGTCCTCACAGTCACCCTGGGGAAGAATTCTTATCCTAGCACCCCTGTTTGTAACTTGGGAAGAAAATAACTAAGGAACACAGTGACTGATTAACTTTCCCAGGTTCCAAAGGCAATGAATTTGAATTTGAACTCATGCCTGTCACTAATATGCTGTGTTATGACTATGCTGAGCTGTTTCTTAGGATACAGACTGCTTAGTAAAAAGGAAGCAACTTGAAACATGCATAATGTGGGTTTTTTTTGGATTTCAGAGAAATTATAAGTATACTGGGGAATGTCCTGCTGATACCTATTCACACCCACTGTAAAACCTATTCAGACCAACACTGATGGCTCAGAAATCCTTCCCTAAAGACAGTTAATGCTGTTCTCACTCTACCCACCTTGACCTCCTGATATTTATAAATGTAAAAGATTTGTAATCTCTCCCACCTTTGAACCTAATATTTCTAAAGGCAGAGGATTAACCCACTGAGCCACCCAGGCACCCCTCATCTGTCTTTTCTACATATTCTTTTTTTTTTTTTTTTAAGATTTTTAAAAAAAATTTGACAGAGAGGGAGAGATCACAAGTAGGCAGAGAGAGGGGGGGAAGCAGGCTCCCCGCAGAGCAGAGAGCCCAATGTGGGGCTGGACCCTGAGATCATGACCTGAGCCGAAGGCAGAGGCTTAACCCACTGAGCCACCCAGGTGCCCCTCTGCATATTCTTTGAATAGGTCCTTTGTATAAACCTAAATTTAAAAAGCAGTCCAGGGGCATCTGGGTGGCTCAGTCGTTAAGCATCTGCCTTCGGCTCAGGTCATGATCTCAGGGTCCTGGGATCAAGCCCTGCATTGGGCTCTCTGCTCAGTGGGAAGCCTGCTTCTCCTTCTCCCACTCCCCCTGCTTGTATTCCCTCTCTCGCTGTGTCTCTCTCTGTCAAATAATAAATAAAATCTTTAAAAAAAATAAAAAACAGCCCCAATTCCCCTTTATTAAGGCTTTCTAGGTTCCCAGATATTCAGGGAGTAATTTGTAATATATGTTTTTTTTTTGGATGAATCAAATCAGATAGTATTTATTTCATACTACTGTGATGGTTTAAGAAAAGATCCAAGTGGAAGTCTACAAAGCTCTATCATTACTATTAACTGCCCTCTTTGCCATATATAGTTCTCTTAAGTCCAGCACAATTGGGGTTAATTTTAGGACTCAGTGTATCTGAAGGAAATTCTGCCCCCACTCCAAGGGACTGAGATGAACAACTGAAACAGTTCTCAGTGGACCTAATGTTAACCTGTCCTTCCCTCTGTGAATAAAAAGGTCTCTCTCCTGAAAGATGAATATCTTGAGGGGCAAGGGGTGCAGAAGAGTCACCTTAAAAACTAAAGACCCTTTCTGTAAATGTTGCCAAAGCTTTCTGATGCTGTATAAGGGCCTGGATCCTGAGAGAAAGGGATACAATAGCACTTAACATTTGCAAAGGAGGTAAAAATCGGTTTCAAAGTGAATTTGGTTTTGCCCCATGAAGTGCTTCTCTCCTTTCAACATCCCCCCTCGCTTTTTAAAAAGATTTTTATTTATTTATCTGAGAGAGAGACAGAGATAGGCACAGAGATAGTGAGAGATCAGTGAGGAGAGGGAGGGCTGAGCAGGGAGCCTGCCCCAGGGCTCAATCCCAGGACTCTGGGATCAGGACTTGAGCTGAAGGTAGATGTTTAATCCACTGAGCCACCCAGGTACCCCTCAACCCCTTTTATAAAAAAGATTTTATTGATTGATTGATTTAGAGAGAAGGAGAGAGCATAAGCAGGGGTGAGGGGCAGAGGGAGAAGGAGAGAGAATCTCAGGTAGACTCTGCACTGAGCTTGGAGCCTGAGGTGGGGCTTGATCTCACGACCCCGAGACCATGACCTGAGCCAAAATCAAGAGTCGGATGATCAAACCGATGGAGCTATCCAGGCACCCCTCCTTTCATCCCTTTGAGCTGAAAGGCAGTGGGCCTTTGCTGGGTGGGTTACAGACTTCAGGCACGGTGCTCTCCGAGTCTCAGCAGCCGGATTACCAGCCACAGCGTGAGATCTAATTTGAGTGGAACGCTCTGCATCTATGCAAATCTTAAGATGATTACAAACGAAATGCCACTCCACAAAGCAAGTATGTCGAGACGTCAAGCTTGTGAACCTAAGAAGGTAAGATATTCCTCAAAGAGGAGGGGGCTGGCACAAAACCAGGCAGCCAGAGCATTAAAGAAAGCAGTCACTCACCAAAGTCAAACTCCTGGAGCGGGAGCTGCTGCTTCGACTGTCCAGGCTGCCCCCTCTGCTCAGGTCGCTGAGACCGCAGCTGGGGGACACATCCGAGTCCATCTCCGAAGAGTCTGACTGCTGGCGGTTCACAGGCATCCCCACACACACCTCGGCCGCTGGCCCGGTCACAGGAAGTGGGGGAGGGGCCAGGGTCCCATTCCCTCTGGAGAAACCAAGCACAGGGGGACAGCGTTAGAGAGCCCACACAATGAATGCCTTAGCCCACCCCACCGAATGAAAGTCTCGGCATGGGTCAGAATCATCTTGATGTGCAGCCTCGACCATCAAAACAAAGGGAATTAGGGGCCCCTAAGTCAATGTGTCTGCTCATTTTCATTTCTCCTTTATATCTCTTTCCATCATGAAGATGTGAATCATTTTTAAGGAAAAGATGAATGGACTAACAATTACTTTGTTGCTGAAAATGTAATAGGATAATGTTCTGGCTCCCTCCTTTGCACCGAGGATCTGTACTGTCATGCTCTTTCCCACATGGATTCAGGACTTCCTTGTGCTCTTTATTGATTCTAGTCTCTTCTACCTCAGACACCACAACATTATGGCTCTTTTTCCAGCTTCACTGCAGTTCAGAGTTCAGTGAAGTGAAAAGAGCCAGTAAATTGTGAATTAAAGTCTGGTTGACATCTCTGAGATTCTAGGCTCTCTGGAGGCTGAGAGGCTTTTGCAATTTCTACATAAGATTCTAAGGTACAGTAAATTACCACTACAAGGAAGTTCATATTTTTTACTTTCAGGAACAAAGATAGCAAAATTTCCCCTACCAGCCCTTTAGTTTCCTACTCTGACTCTTTTAGCAGGAAATTCAACTCAGTCTCTGAACAATGGACAATGGAGTTCAACAAAACCTTCTAGAAGACCAAACAAGATTAATAGGGAATAAGGGAATAAGCCTCTTGTGGAGGCTTAGGGCAAGTGGAGAGATACATCATTCCACGTCATTAATTCCTAAACTGAAAATACTGCCAGGTGGCCTTACGAACCCCTTTAAGAATACTGAGGGGCATGTGAGTTCAGATAACCATCGGCAGAACTGTGTGTGTACACACATATGCACACTCATGTGTGCATTAATTTTTAATAGAAACATGACCATCTATGGAGAAAACCCAATCGGTATGGAGTACTTTTGGGTGGACTTTGTCATTTAAACTTCTAAAATTACTGTAAGATCTTCTTAGGGAAATCCTGAAGGTGTGAGAACAGCTTGAAAAAGAAACTCTTCCTCGCCTGGTTTCTCTTCATTTTTCAGGTGAGTCAGCTCATGTTAACTGGTAGTTTAAGAGTAAGGTTAGGGAGCAGAAGATTCTGAGCATATACATACTTTTTGGAAGTCGCCATTATTCCAAATGGTTAAAAAAAAAAAAAAAAAGAAGCTTAAAATGTTAAAGGTCTTTTTTTTTTTTTAAAGATTTATTTATTTATTTATTTATTTTGAGAGAGAGAGAGAGAGAGCGAGCGAGCGAGCATACACGAGTACAACCAGGGAGAAAGGGAGAGTGAACTAAGCAGACTCCTTGCTGAGCAGGGAGGGAGCCTGGAGCAGCTTTGATCCCAGGACCGTGGGATTACAACCTGAGCTGAAATCAAGAATTGGACGCTTAACTGACGGAGCTACTCAGGCACCCCCCAAAAATGTTATAGGTTTTAAAATTTGTGTAATAGTAAGCAAGCCTAAACAGTGCACAGACTTCATCTAAACCATCTAACCATCTACATAGCTAATAATATGCCCCATCCCTGGGATGGTGAGCAGCTGGGGCCTGGGTGAGGTGGACTCATGGACTCTAATTTATTCCTGAACTAAGTAAGTCACTGCTCCAGGGAAAGGAGGGAGATGTGGGGCAGTAAGTCTTCCCCTGACACAATAAGGAGGTGAAAGATGGGGAAGTGAGATGCTCTTTAGCCCCACATGAGGAAGGAACCCAGCAGATGTGCCTTGTCTGTGGGAAAGGGCCCGGAATTTTGCAACAGGTCTGTGCAGTAGGAACAGCGCTCTGAGGCATCCCCAGCACGGCCAGAGGGCAGTAACCTACCATATTATTCGAGAACACACCTTTTTCTTGTGCTACAACAATGTGAAAAGCTATTCTGACGCTGTAAAACTATAACATTTAGATTTTTACAAATTACTGTCTTGAAAGAATATGAGGAAGCTAACCATAATTCTCCAGAAGGCAGAAGTTGTCCGGGAGAAAGTGAACACCTTGGTTCAACATCCTTCACAAGTTCAAGGTGCAACTCTTCTGTGATCTCTTAAGACCTCAAGAATGAGGGGCTCCCTCATCCCGGTTCCCTGGGAACTAAAAATATAGAATCCCAAGGTAGTCCACTGTGGCAAGAGCAAAGTTACCTGAAGAGAAAGGGCAAAGAAGCAGCCTTCTTCTCTGGTCTGCCCTGGGAAGGGAATAGGGCAGACAGGTTTGACAGGAGTGACTCCCCACGTCCCATGAGTCTGGGAGGGTCATTACCACCCTAAAATATTTAGTCTCCTTGGCCAATCATGGGTTCACTCTTTGGGTTTACAGTAAAGTTTAGAACAAATGAGACTAAGAGAGACCCATAGGTGAAGAAGCTGATTTCTAACAGAGGAGCTTGCTGATGTCCCAGCAAGTCTGATACCACAGGAGCAGAAATTTGAGCCACTGTGCTCACTTCCTTTTTTTTTCCTTCAATTTAATTTAATTTAATTTTTTTCTTTAATTTAACTTAATTAAAAAAAATTTTTTTTGAAGAGAGAGAGTGGATGGAGGGGCAGAGGGAGAGAGAGAATCTCAAGCGGGTTCCATGATCAGTGCAGAACCCAATGTGGGGCTCAATCTCATGACCCTGAGATAATGATCTGAGCTGAAATCAAGAGTCAGAACTTAACTGAGCCACCCAGGTGCCCCTGATGTGCTCACTTTCTGTTTATTTTCTTAGACTTCCTGTGTTTATTTCTCATTATTTATTAGTAGTGTCCTTGTTTGGAAAGGTCTGGTTTATCAGTTGAGCAGACAGAACGAGGACAAGGCCACTACTGATCTACAGTCCTAGGAAATCTACATCTGCCAAGCATAGCAGGTGGGAAGGACAGCAGCTATCCAGGCTGAAGGACCTGGTGGGTCTGTGGGAGTTGGGCAAGTGAACGCACTGGTGAGTGCACTGAGTGCACTGCAGCCAACGGAGGAAGACAACTCCTTTTCTTCATCTTCCCCTACATTCCAGAAAGATATAGAATTACCTAGATGCATCAAGCACAAAGCCCTCCTTCACCATCACCCCACTCTGTCTCAGTTCCTACCAATCAATACGTGCATCAATGTGAGGCCCATCTTCCCTTCTAGCCCCAGCATATTCTCCAGATATTTGCCGTTTTCCGATGTCACCCTGAGCAGACTACAGGTGCCAGGCAATGACCGACAAGTAAAAACCACTTCTTCCACAGAGGAACTTGGCGGAGGCCCTGGTTCTTAAGTCCATAAGGTATCAGACAGACCGAACGTGTGTACAGGTCAAGCCTGAGCACATGTATTTTTTTTAAAAGTTCTGCAAACAGTTCTGCTGCGCAGCACTGACTCCCACAGAAGACGGAAGTGTAGGCTATGCTCAGCGCCATTGCGGGGGAAATGGGAGCACAGGGCAAGGGGTGCCATTAAGCCCAGCGGGATTCAGAGACTTCACAGAACGGTGACAACAAGGCCAAGCCCTAAGAGATGTTTGAGATGTAAGAGACTATCGGTTATACACACTGTGATGGGCATTCCGAGCAGAGAGAGGGACTCAGCAAAGGCCTGGCCCCACTCGGGGTCTGTGGAAGTGCTGGGCACTGGGGTGAAGCACTGAGCTTGGCTAGAGCATAGGACCAAATAAGCTGGGAAAGGCAGACAGAAGTGCAGACGGAGGGAAAATGACCAGAGGGAAAGCGGCTCTGACTTTTGAAGTGACTTGCTTACAGGTGGAGGAGAGGGAGCAAGAAGGCTTATGCCCCAGCGGAGGGCCACGATCCCATGCATAACACACAGGTAACTCAGGTGATACCTTGAAGGGCAGACAGCCCAGGAGAGGAATTTAAAGGTAATGAGGATAATGGAATATCAAACACTGTTTAAAAAAAGGGGGTGGTCAGGGCGCCTGGGTGGCTCAGCCGGTTAAGCGTCTGCCTTCAGCTCAGGTCATGATCTCAGGGTCCTGAGTTTGAGCCCCACATCTGTTGGGTTCCCTGCTCAGCAGGGAATCTGCTTCCCTCTCTCTCTCTGTCTCACTCCTTCTCTCAAATGAATAAATAAAATCTTTCGGGGGAAAAAAGAAGGAGCAGTTGAGTGGTTTCCAGGACACATTTTGTGTGTGGAAAGAGCAAGGGAAAGAACAGACCTGGCGTATACTTCCACTTGAATAGGGAAATCAGTGAGAAAATATATTTATGCAGAAACTTTCTCTGGAAGGATAGACAGAAAGATGCTCAGGGGAACTGTCTGCAAGGAGGGAGAAAGGGATGGCCAGGAGGCGAGAGTAGAGATGACGCTTTCACCAAATGATCTTTTCTGTCTTTCAAATGCTGCACATACTCACTCTCCAATAAATAATCTATCTCTGAGGCAATCAAAGCCATTATCAAGTTATTTTACCAGTTCACATAAGAAATGATAAAAACCTGGAAACTACCATGGCCATAAGTTTGGAAGGGAAAAAACGTTAAGAGGGAAAGGATATGAAATTTTCATGACTAACAGGCAGGGCAGGAGTGTATTTTCAGAACAAAAGAGAGGGGGACTCTGGCTGCCGAAAGTGCAACAGAGTAAGGACTAAAAACTGCCCATCGAACTCACTGACCTTATAAAGAGCGAGCAGTGCAGAGATGATCCAAAGCCCCCAAGAGTGGGCCAAGGCATGGACGGGAGAGGTGGGGTGTGCATCGTGTCACGGGGGGTGTGCTCTGGGGGGGGGGGGGAATGGGTGACATGGGTAATGGGGATGAAGGAGTGCCCTTGTCGTGATTATGGAACAGCTGAATCACTAAATTGTATACCTGAAACTAATATAACACTGTATATTAACTATCTGGAATTAAAAGAAAAACTCAAGGGGCCCTGGGTGGC